TGGGATTTGTTTTATTGAATATGCAAATATAATTTATAAAAAAATCCAGCTACATTAAATACCAAAGCAGAAATTCAAAAATGACTTTAAAATATTTCTCAAACTGAAACATCCGTGTAACTTCTGTCATACCCCAAATGGAGCTTTAAATGAATTCGCTCTGAAAAATATTTGAATGACCCAAAAAAGGTCAGATTAAAATATTCCCAGAAATGTGAAATATATGTTAAAGATTAAAGTTGATTAGTTACATATAGATATAATATTAATCACTATTACTCGTAGCGATTTTTAATTACATTTCCTAAAACTGTTGGAAGCGCACGTACAATCTCCACAACAAGCCCGCAAGATCGTCAGAAACACCCAGTTGGACCAGTCAGAGCCGTTATGTCAACAAACGCACGTTCGTGTATTTTATCTCTCCTTCAGTCCCATGATTCTTATCAAAAACTTCACATTAGACAGCACAATTCTGTTAGCTATGTTCTTAGCACTTTCAATATGACGATATATATATTTTTCATGATTTTGTAAACAATAACATAATGCCATAAATGGTTTAAGTATTTAAGAAGCTTTGTGGTTTCAAGTGGCTGACAGGGGTCTTGTACGAGAGTACATGTACAATCCTGCAGTACAGAGCCACGTCCGACGAGCTGCAGCTTTGCCACTACTGTCACTGGATCAAGTCCAAGATGCTTGGGTTGAAGTTAAGGAGCAAGGTCCAGATGGTCAACAACTATGTAACAAGTACCTGGGTAGAAGACGACGACAGATTTCCCTGTAATATCTGGAACCAGCACGAGAACACTGGACCTCGCTCCAACAATCACCTGGAGGGGTTTCACAATGGACTAAAGAAGAGAATTCCCCGGTCACAAACTAACATTTACCAGTTCATAAAAGAAATCAAGAAGATTAAGACAGCAGATAAACGGTCTAGACGATAGAAAGGTCTTGGTGGTGCTGTGAAACGCTGTGCACGTATGTGGTGCCCTAAAACCGACAATGGTAAACACACGTATTGACAGGGACAGAGATGCCCGAATTGAGAGACTAAAGCTACAGCTTGTAACTGGACGAAAAACTGCGACACAGTTCATTTTCACGAGAATTTTTAATATCATCCATGACATATATACTCTTCCCGAGATTCTAAAACCCTAATGAAAACTGAAGACTATAGACAGGTTTAAAAATATAGCTGATAGCGATTGATAAAAAATGTAACTATGATGAACTATGTTCATTCAGTAATGGACCCGTAAAGATCCGGGTTAGAATTGGTGTACCTCAACCCATGCTTGTCGTAAGAGGAGACTTACATGATCTGCCTCAACCCATGCTTGTCGTAAGAGGAGACTAACAGGATCTACCTCAACCCATGCTTGTCGTAAGAGGAGACTAACAGGAACTGCCTCAACCCATGCTTGTCGTAAGAGGAGACTCAACCCATGCTTGTCGTAAGCTAACATGATCTGCCTGTCGTAAGAGGGAGACTAACAGGATCTGCCTCAACCCATGCTTGTCGTATGCTTGTCGTAAGAGGAGACTAACAGGATCAACCTCAACCCATGATTGTCGTAAGAGGAGACTAACAGGATCTAAGAGGAGACTCAACCCATGCTTGTCGTAAGAGGAGACTAACATGATCTGCCTCAACCCATGCTTGTCGTAGAGGGAGACTAACAGGATCTGCCTCAGGATCTGCTTGTCGTAAGAGGAGACTAGCAGGATCTGCCTGAACCCATGCTTGTCGTAAGAGGAGACTAACAGGATGCTTGTCGTAAGAGGAGACTAACAGGATCTACCTCAACCCATGCTTGTCGTAAGAGGAGACTAACAGGATCTGCCTCAACCCATGCTTGTCGTAAGAGGAGACTAACAGGATCTACCTCAACCCATCAACCCATGCTTGTCGTAAGAGGAGACTAACAGGATCTGCCTCAACCCATGCTTGTCGTAAGAGGAGACTAACAGGATCTGCCTCAACCCATGCTTGTCGTAAGAGGAGACTAACAGGATCAACCTCAACCCATGCTTGTCGTAAGAGGAGACTAACAGGATCTACCTCAACCCATGCTTGTCGTAAGAGGAGACTAACATGATCAACCTCAACCCATGCTTGTCGTAAGAGGAGACTAACAGGATCTGCCTCAACCCATGCTTGTCGTAAGAGGAGACTAACAGGATCTACCTCAACCCATGCTTGTCGTAAGAGGAGACTAACAGGACTAACATTTTGTTAATGGATGGTGCCACAGTAGGGCAGGACACGTTCACCACCAGTTTTCAGTGATCCAATTCATATTATTTTCAAATCTATTCCCCCTTTACACCATATGGGATCTGTTTGTCAAGATCGTCAAGATTGGGTATTCCTAGCACTAATGTTCTCTGTTTGTCTAAGAAGCATCCTTAAAATAGCTGAAATGTTCCCATAGCTGCATTTCAATGGACGAGGATCTGGTGTGAGATGGAAGAATGTCCTTGATAAATTTTTTTATATATTCTTGAAATAAGCCACTGGAAACGTTTGTTCTGTTATCTCAACCGAGATCCTGAAATTTTCTGTTTTCCTGGCTGTTTGAGCAAAGGTTTCCTCTGTTTTGAGGGTCATTTACAAATGATGTACTAGTACTTAAATCCGAGAAAATACGCTTTGTAATTAATTTATCTAAACTTTCAGTTCGATGATTATTCAATTTTAAAGTTATTGAAGGAAGCATTTCCTTTTACTGGAAATGACATGATCCATACAAGATTACCATTTACTATTTTTTTAAGAACCAGGTGACACGTGGTATCAATATTTCCCCTGAAACCATATAATATGATCTAAGTTATCGGATTGTCAGAATTTTATAATCGACTCTCAGACTTATGGACGTGGACAGATATTTTTGCTTCTATTCACAGAATTCACGTATTTCCCAAACCAGAAATTTGACAATGTAGAAGTTCTAAATGGCCATTTGAGTTCTTTCAGAGACCATATAATATGGTCTCTGGTTCTTTGGGGGGCATAGCCAAATAGGACCATCACTGCTCGCAGCTATATTCTCTTTATCGTTTTAATTCTAGATAAATAGTTTGAAAATCAAATGTTTGTCAGTAGGGTTTAGACTCCCCCAAAACAGGTTAGCTCTAGCCCTCGGCCCAGAGGGTTGTACCGACTCTCTGTGGCCACCCCATGTTATTCTGTTTCTTGTTACTAAAATTGTAATTAACTTCTTGTGACTTCGGACTCTTTGCTGAGGTAATTCCCCACAAGCAGACCAGCACGCAAGTTAGACAAGGTGTTCCACCAGGAGCTTCATTGGGACCCCAGACCCATATCACAACAAGACTCACACACATATGATCATATCCCAACAAAGAAAGCAACAACAGCTTATGTAGGAAACTGTTCGTTTGCAACTGAACTTTGTATACTTTTATTGTAATCATACATGTATAAAGCCACATGAATGAATGAATGAATGAATGTGTCTTTATTTCCTCCAGAGTTGAATCCGAAGATCGTACAAAGGCAAATACATTACTGAGATCGGGCCGTTTCCCTGTATCTCACAAGTTATCTAAAACTAAACAATAACAAAATATGACCAACAAGTCTGACTGCAGTTCAAGAGTGTTTATTGTAAAGACAAGAATAATGCCGTAAGTATATATTCATAATCAAACACATATTTGAGAAATTGACAACATGGTTATAGATTACATTTATACCCGAGGTATATTACAATTACATAAACAGAACTACCTAAATGATATTATGAAATAGCAAGTTACATATACATGTCAAAGTCTAGTATTTCTGATCATAACTTATTCTGCAATGTCAAAATATAACTTATTAAGTATGCTTGTTGCATAGACAAGAGGTACATACACGTTACATATAGTTAAAACCTATTTAGTAACCTTTCATACATTAAATGCAAGTCAAGTAATACATGAAAAATATAATGCAAGGTCTTACCTAAACAGTAACAAAATATGACCAACAAGTCTGACTGCAGTTTAAGAGTGAAGCTATGCAGATGCTACCGCAGTATTTATAAGCAAGGAACATGCAGTTAATTTATGGTTATGGGGTGTGTTTACCTTTGCCAGATATCCATGTAACAAGTGACTTTTATAAACTATCATTTAATATACACATACTAGTATATGAAATGTATGAATTGCATTTATTTGAAACAGTATAAAAATGTATAAAATTGTATAAAACATAGTTCACATTGTTGCTCTATAACATTATTTACAATACATCACATACATTAAACAAAATGGAACAACATTTGTAACAAAATGGAAGTATATGTTAGACTGCTCATTAATAGATAATTTACAATGTACAATTTGTGGGCAGTAGGGCTGTGTTTAATAGATGTACATCAGATGTTTCTTTAGATTCCATACGAAGTGAGAAAATGAAAGTATTATGTATTCCCATGTATCATAGTCAATTATTTCAGTTAAGTCATGTATGTCTGCGCGGAGAAACAGTGCCAGCATATCATCGTCGTCGAGCATATCTATTTTACTGCAACTGAAACTCATTTTTCGTGCTTCATTTACACTAAGTATTTTTCATCTTTCATTTAAGTATTTTGTAAACTGAAATACATATAAATTTTGTAAATGTTATATTGAAATCAGTATGTGGTATGAAATTTCTGGTCCATTGCAATTGACTATGATTGTCTGTCATGCTGCCCTGGTATCCGTGATGTCAATCATCTGGTGACCTTCCCAGACCGAAGTATGTACTAGTTACTGAAGACAGTTGGAACATTGAGGACTTCGATATAGATTAACATACACTAGTATTCCTTGAAACTTGATGCATCCTTCTAGAGACGCTCATTGATTTCATGATGGCAACTCTCTCTCTAATTTCGGTTTCTTCAATTTGAGCGGTATGTCTGCCGGGCTAGAATCAAAGGGTGTTCTCTTTAGACTGTATTTAGTTTCTAAATCGGAGTATCTCGATGTTGTGCTGGATCCCGATGTTGTGCTGGATCCCGATGTTGTGCTGGATGTGCTTCTTGGACCACCAACAGAACTCTTAGGAAGGTATTCTAAGATTGAAGCATATGCTGGAGCCATGATTCTGTATTCAGACTCATGTTTAAGGTTGTCCACAACATCCCTGTTTCTACTTGCCGGGGGTCTGTACAGCTGAGATGACCTGAATGTCTTCTGAGTAGGAGAGACATAAGGCTTCTTTTGAGATGATGAAAACCCAGACCGCACAGACTTCTTACCAGGAATAATTACTTTCCTGGCAGTATGTGTTACTCTTGTTTCCTCCCCTTCAGACCAATCTTCATCTTTGTCCATGAAATGCAGCTGAGCACCCCATTTCCTGATGAAACAGTCACGCATGGAGCGCCCCTTGCACTGGTGTTGGTCCTGTGTTCTGTCCACCCAGAACACGGAGATGTTTTCATACTCCTCTGGTGTCAGTCCTGCTAGGTATGTGTCAATGGATGATGGAGATGAAGAGCTGGTGACAGTGTCTGGTTGACTTTTGAAAAGTTGGTCAAGTCGGTGACCGATGTCATCTGACTTGCCAACATAGAGCGGAAAGTACTCTACCGAGTCTTCATAGTCAAGGACCGTTGCTATCTTAAAGTAGCCGCTTGTCTTGGTTTGTGGTCTTTCAAAATATGGAAGTTGTCCTCTGAATAATTTATGGCAAGCTTTTATCTGAAACAGAGACAGGCACATTTTGACTGTTTGTAAATGAATATGATGTATTGTGATATTTTTAGTAGAATATGGAATTGAATGCTGTGCTAGTCTTAAAATTCGGAATAACAAAAAGTAATAAGAATTCAAAAGACTCTCCTCATAATTGAATTAAATTATGGAAAATCAATAAACTTGGACAATTAACTTGGACATAGGAATGGATCATCCATTATTCCTAGTAGATCAAAGGTTACTCTCCAACAGTCCTAAGTTATTCTGTTACATTCATTATCTCACCTTATTTGGTGTTTTTACTGCTTGTGGTTTGTCTTTAGCTGGAGAAACAGATGTTTTCCCTGGTGAAGGTCTTGATGTTGATAGTTTGGACATTGTTGCCTTTTTACCAAGGTCAAGGTCGGACCAATCTGAACTTTTCAAAGGTGACTTTGTTTGAGGTTTGTATTTTGGAGCTTTTATTACTTTTTCAGTGTCATCATCTGACTTGGAAGGTGTGGATGAAAGAGAAGCTGTTTCACTCCGAGAAGGGGGGTCCATTAGTTTTGTTGGTGGTGTTTCTTTGTTTGATATTTTGGGTGGCAGGACAGTAGTACTGGTACTAGGTGATGGACTGTGAATCATTTTGGGATTTGATTTGATCCATGTCAGCTTAGTCTGAATCTTTTTATCGGTGAACGTTTTGGGTTTAGTGACAGCAGGTTGTCCTGAAAAAAGACACAAAACTACACAAATTGTGAAAATACAAATACCAGGAGAACTTCCTGTTATCAAAATACGTAAATAAAATATGTTTCAAAACATAAGGAATGTTTGATTTCCCGTCAAGTGCTCTGTGATGTGGCAGGAATATTGTTGAGTGTGGCATTCAATCAAAGAAACAAATCTGAAGATCTGGTTTAGAAATGGTATTCAGTAGCCCATGCTTGTCATTAGAACAGGATTGGGTGGTTAGCCCTCCTGACATGCATGTCTTCTAACTGTCAAACATACCAGTGACTATGACCTTCAGTGATGGTCACTCAAAACTGGAGACCTCAATTCCCTGCCCAAATTATGTATTCAAAATCCTCGAGTTATTATGTAACACATTTTTTAATACGTGATTTTGATTTTGATTTTGCCCTTCAAGATCGTTTGAAATCAATAAAATTGATACATCTTTGCATTAAGCTCTTAAGACACTTTGACAGAAGGTTGTTTAGCTAAAATAATTGTGTAACTAAAATAGTTGTTGCCGACAGCCTTATATTTCTGTTTTATTTCACCAGAAAGCTGCTTCTCCACTGTCTATATGTAGAGAGTTGTATGTGGCACCCATATTTTGTTACCGGCCACATCACATGCGTTCCATGCTTGTGACATGTGCCATAGATTTATGATTTTACAACTAGGTCCAACGACAACTAGCTTACCTTTATGTCCAGACATGACATCCTTCAGGTCAACCGAGAACTGACTGTCAACATGGACATTAAGCCTCAGTTTATCCTTCACAATACTCAGCAGGCATGTGAGAATCTCCTTCAGTTTGTGCTGGAGAAAATCTTGCACGCTGATGGTTGAGTCCAGCTTGAGGTTGAGAATAATGGAGCCTTTCTCTACAGAGGTCAGAAGAGCACCATTCAGGGGGAGATAACTATTGATGATACACTGATTATCCTTGAAAATCTTGAAGAGTCTCCTCTCAGTGTTGGAATCCTGTTCCATGGATGTGATGGTTATTTTTGCTCTGTTATCCGATGTAGCATTTCCTGTTACAGGAAGGATAATACATGGTAAGTGCAGAAATGACAAGTGAGTGAGTGAGTGAGTATTGTTTTACGCAGCTTTTAGCAATATTCCAACAAAATCACAGCAGGGGACACCAGAAAGGTTCTTTCACATTGTACCCATTTGAAATTATGTGTCTCTACAAGTCAATGACAGCCAATATTTACAGTCAAACACCCTTACACTGGTCATTTCATGATAACAAATATATGGCTTAATGACTCATTATTAAGTGACTATGTTCTTATATCCATGTTTACCTATTTTCCAGCAATATCAACAGAAACAGGTGTTACAGATTGTACCTCATGAGGAAATAAGCCTGGTTCTTTGGCATAATTAGCAAACACATAAACCCACAAGCCTATCCCACTGCATGTATTCATTAGTAAGGAATTATGAAAAGCCTATAAACCTTAAATTCTTGTTGCAGATGAGACAGGAGACTTAACTCAAAGGGGTTGTAGTCCAGTAAAACTGTCATGATTGATGTATCAGTACCTACCAATATGGATGTTGGCAATGTTTGTTGACTCCCCAATCTGTGTGATATAATTACACCCAAGATCATCCGTCTTGAGTGTACACTCATTTTCCAAACCAATCTGGACAAAAGAATTAGCTGAAACAAAGTTAGCAGCCTGTCAGATAGTCCAATAATATCAAGACAGCATCAAATAAAGTGAGAGTGATTGTCACACTCATAATGGATCTGAACTCCCTCGCAAGGGAGATAACTCCTTCCAAGTTTCAGGGATAGATGGGACCAAATAGGCCTTCAAGTTCAATGAATACACTTTTTGTCTGGTACACCCTGTGTCTTCGATTATTCCGTGCATTATGTCTCCATCCTGTTATGCATATCACTAATTGGTGTCTGGTTCAAATGACACAATGACATTACTTCAATTGTCTGGTTCAAATGACACAATCACATTACTTGAATTGTCGGGTTCAAATGACACAATGACATTACTTCAATTGTCTGGTTCAAATGACACAATCACATTACTTGAATTGTCGGGTTCAAATGACACAATCACATTACTTCAATTGTCTGGTTCAAACGACACAATCACATTATTTGAATTGTCTGGTACAAATGACACAATCACATTACTTCAATTGTCTGGTTCAAATGACACAATCACATTACTTCAATTGTCGGGTTAAAATGACACAATCACATTACTTCAATTGTCGGGTTCAAATAACACAATCACATTACTTGAATTGTCTGGTTCAAATGACACAATCACATTACACTGAATTGTCTGGTTCAAATGACACAATCACATTACTTGAATTGTCTGGTTCAAATGACACAATCACATTATTTGAATTGTCTAGTTCAAATGACACAATCACATTACTTCAATTGTCTGGTTCAAATGACAAAATCACATTACACTGAATTGTCTGGTTCAAATGACACAATCACATTATTTGAATTGTCTGGTTCAAATGTTACTTGAATTGTCTGGTTCAAATGACACAATCACATTACTTGAATTGTCTGGTTCAAATGACACAATCACATTACTTCAATTGTCTGGTTCAAATGACACAATCACATTACACGAATTGTCTGGTTCAAATGACACAATCACATTACTTGAATTGTCTGGTTCAAATGACACAATGACATTACACTGAATTGTCTGGTTCAAATGACACAATCACATTATTTGAATTGTCTGGTTCAAATGACACAATGACATTACTTGAATTGTCTGGTTCAAATGACACAATCACATTATTTGAATTGTCTGGTTCAAATGACACAATCACATTACTTGAATTGTCTGGTTCAAATGACACAATCACATTACTTGAATTGTCTGGTTCAAATGACACAATCACATTACTTCAATTGTCTGGTTCAAATGACACAATCACATTACACTGAATTGTCTGGTTCAAATGACACAATCACATTACTTGAATTGTCTGGTTCAAATGACACAATCACATTATTTGAATTGTCTGGTTCAAATGACACAATCATATTACTTGAATTGTCTGGTTCAAATGACACAATCACATTATTTGAATTGTCTGGTTCAAATGACACAATCACATTACTTGAATTGTCTGGTTCAAATGACACAATCACATTACATGAATTGTCTGGTTCAAATGACACAATCACATTACTTGAATTGTCTGGTTCAAATGACACAATCACATTACACTGAATTGTCTGGTTCAAATGACACAATCACATTATTTGAATTGTCTGGTTCAAATGACACAATCACATTACTTGAATTGTCTGGTTCAAATGACACAATCACATTACACTGAATTGTCTGGTTCAAATGACACAATCACATTACACTGAATTGTCTGGTTCAAATGACACAATCACATTACTTGAATTGTCTGGTTCAAATGACACAATCACATTACTTGAATTGTCTGGTTCAAATGACACAATCACATTACACTGAATTGTCTGGTTCAAATGACACAATCACATTACACGAATTGTCTGGTTCAAATGACACAATCACATTACACGAATTGTCATGACTGAAACAAGTGGCAATATCACCAGTACTTATACCATATTTACTTCTCTAGCTACATCTTCGACAATGGCCATTGCTGCTAATACTACTACTGCTACTACTGCTACTACTACTACTACTGCTACTACTACTACTACTACTACTACTACTACTACTACTACTACTACTACTACTACTACTACTACTACTACTACTACTACTACTACTACTACTACTACTACTACTACTACTACTACTACTGCTACTACTGCTACTACTACTACTACTACTACTACTACTACTACTACTACTACTACTACTACTACTACTACTACTACTACTACTACTACTACTACTACATCATATTGAAACCAGACCCCATCAGCACCACCATCTCTAGTATTGTAACATAGTTACAGAGGAATTACTCTACATACTTAAAGGTTCCTGTGAGTTGTTTCCAGCCTGCCAGTGGTATGCTTCGGCTGATTGAGGAAGGCGGTAAAATGTTGTATTGAATTTCCTCTCATCATTAATGTCATCTATGACATATATAGGCTTCCCAAGATCAGAAAATCCTGATGAAAACAGAAGAATATAAGCAGGTAAAAAATAAGAGTTGATATAACCTTGTAAGATTGATGAGAAATGTAATGCTAATTTGTTTGCTAACTATACTCTTAAAAAAAAGTAGGGGAACCTGGGCCTAGATTTTCGAAGCTCTCTTAGCACTAAGAGAGTCGTAAGTTAATGTTAATGTACGGCACTTACGACTATCTTAACGCTAAGAGAGATTCGAAAATCGGGGCCCTGAACTATCAATTTGGATAGGAAGTATAAGCATTAAAAAACTTTTCAAAGACAGACATTTGAAGAACACGCCACCATTTCTCTTTAACACCACCCCAACATGGGATGCATGTGCACAACGCAGTAGCCCCATGGGGTGTCATTCTTGATTTTGATGGTTTTCCAGGAGGTCAATAAATCACTGTAGACCATTAATTTTGACAATCATCTTGCATCACACAGTTGTTAGTGTTTGTTTCTAACCATTTTCTGGTTTGAAAATGAAAATCATACACATGCAAATTTTAGACACCAGTCATCTTTTAAAAGCGATTACTGTACAAACAGCTATGGTCATAAGGAAGTGCAAGTGGTGATGCACTCTTAAAACATTCATTATTATCATATCAACATTGATTGACTCCGATATATCTCCCACTTTTTTTCAGTCGTAAGTTAAAAAGTCCCCCCTTTTTGAAGAGAACGTGTGTATATGTAAGTGTTCATTCAGTAATAGACCCGTAGAGATCTGTGTTAGAATTGGTCTTCCGCAATCCATGTTGACATTGTTGTCGTAAGAGGTGACTAACAGGACTGGGTGGTCCGGCTCGCTGACCTGGTTGTCGTAAGAGATGACTAACAGGACTGGGTGGTCCGGCTCGCTGACCTGGTTGTCGTAAGAGGTGACTAACAGGACTGGGTGGTCCGGCTCGCTGACCTGGTTGTCGTAAGAGGTGACTAACAGGACTGGGTGGTCCGGCTCGCTGACCTGGTTGTCGTAAGAGGTGACTAACAGGACTGGGTGGTCCGGCTCGCTGACATGGTTGTCTTAAGAGGAGACTAACAGGACTGAGTGGTCCGGCTCGCTGACCTGGTTGTCGTAAGAGGAGACTAACAGGACTGAGTGGTCCGGCTCGCTGACCTGGTTGTCGTAAGAGGAGACTAACAGGACTGAGTGGTCCGGCTCGCTGACCTGGTTGTCGTAAGAGGAGACTAACAGGACTGAGTGGTCCGGCTCGCTGACCTGGTTGGCACATGTCATCGTATCCCAATTGCGTAGATCGATGCTCATGCTGATCGCAGGATTGTCTATTCTAGACTCGATTATTTACAGACTGTCATCATATAGCTGGAATATTGCTGAGTGCAGCAACAAACCAACCAAACCAATCATTCGGTAATTAATCAACAGTACATTTATTCTTTAACAGGTTACAAATTAGAGGCCCAAGAGGCTTGATTATGTATTCTATTATACAAAGGATATAATTTAATAACAGTTAGTTTCTTTACATCAAAAGAAGCCTGTAATCCTCGAGGTAGGAAGTATTAATACAATATACAGTCATGATGTCATTCCAAGCAGTTATAACCAATAGCATCAAACAGAGAACCGGTACCATAGCACAGGATGTGATATGAATGAGATTAACATGGTCATTGGATAAGATGTGAATAGCTGCATTTCAATTATCATAAAACCACTGCAACAAGATAACTTGCATATCACATGACCAGTCTTTTATCTGTTTAGTACACCTGCAAGCTGATACTGAAATCTGTATGGTCCATTATTGTTCATGCGGGTTGTTTTGCATAATGGATGGAAGGGGGAGAGGGAGGATGAATGTATGGTTGGAAGGGGGAGTGGATGGATGAATGTATGGATGGAAGGGGGAGTGGATGGATGAATGTATGGATGGAAGGGGGAGAGGATGGATGAATGTATGGATGGAAGGGGGAGCGGATGGATGAATGTATGGATGGAAGGGGAGCGGATGGATGAATGTATGGATGGAAGGGGGAGTGGATGGATGAATGTATGGATGGAAGGGAGTGGATGGATGAATGTATGGATGGAAGGGGACTGGATGGATGAATGTATGGATGGAAGGGGGCGGATGGATGGAAGGGGAGTGGATGGATGAATGTATGGATGGAAGGGGAGAGGATGGATGAATGTATGGATGGAAGGGGAGAGGATGGATGAATGGATGGATGGAAGGGGAGCGGATGGATGAATGTATGGATGGAAGGGGAGCGGATGGATGAATGTATGGATGGAAGGGGAGTGGATGGATGAATGTATGGATGGAAGGGAGTGGATGGATGAATGTATGGATGGAAGGGGACTGGATGGATGAATGTATGGATGGAAGGGGAGCGGATGGATGGAAGGGGGAGTGGATGGATGAATGTATGGATGGAAGGGGAGAGGATGGATGAATGTATGGATGGAAGGGAGTCGATGGATGAATGTATGGGTGGAAGGGGAGTGGATGGATGAATGTATGGATGGAAGGGACTGGATGGATGAATGTATGGATGGAAGGGAGTGGATGGATGAATGTATGGATGGAAGGGGGAGTGAATGGATGAATGTATGGATGGAAGGGGAGTGGATGGATGAATGTATGGATGGAAGGGGGAGTGGATGGATGAATGTATGGATGGAAGGGGACTGGATGGATGAATGTATGGATGGAAGGGGAGTGGATGGATGGAAGGGGAGTGGATGGATGAATGTATAGATGGAAGGGAGTGGATGGATGAATGTATGGATGGAAGGTGGAGTGGATGGATGAATGTATGGATGGAAGGGGAGTGGATGGATGAATGTATGGATTGCAGAAGTGGATGGATGAATGTATGGATGGAAGAAGTGGATGGATAGATGAATGTATGGATGGAAGGGAGTGGATAGATGAATGTATGGATGGAAGGGGAGCGGATGGATGAATGTATGGATGGAAGGGGAGTGGATGGATGAATGTATGGATGGAAGGAGTGGATGGATGAATGTATGGATGGAAGAAGTGGATGGATGAATGTATGGATGGAAGGGGAGCGGATTGATGAATGTATGGATGGAAGGGACTGGATGGATGAATGTATGGATGGAAGGGGACTGGATGGATGAATGTATGGATGGAAGGGGGAGTGGATGGATGAATGTATGGATGGAAGGGGAGTGGATGGATGAATGTATGGATGGAAGGGGGGATGGATGAATGTATGGATGGAAGGGGACTGATGGATGAATGTATGGATGGAAGGGACTGGATGATGGATGAATGGATGGATGGAAGGGATGACTGGATGGATGAATGTATGGATGGAAGAATGTATGGATGATGGATGAATGATGATGGATGGAAGGAGTATGGATGGATGAATGTATGGATGGAAGGGGGACTGATGGATGAATGTATGGATGGAAGGGGACTGATGGATGGATGAATGGATGGATGGAAGGGGACTGGATGGATGAATGTATGGATGGAAGGGGGAGTGGATGGATGTACATACATAAATGTCATTGTATAATCAGCTACTTTCCAAAAAAGCCTTTTGTTACTAGAATCTCCACATGAAGATCTGACAACCTGCAAGGAGAAGATTGCTTCTGGCAAACCCGAAGTGAAATCTGACAGCTCTGTCTGAATGAAGTAACAAATACAAATAATATTTGGCATAATTTCTTTACCACCTTGATTCTCATTTTACACACAAGTATACCCATTGAAATAAAAAAAACATTCCTTCAATGGTGTTCCCTTTTTGTCCCAATGGTGTAACCTTTATTATTTACATTCTGAACAGTCTAAGCTTGTTTCATAACAAAGAAATCAGAAGTAGTGATCTGAATCTTGTTGAGAGAATTTAGGAGCCTTGACGTGGATCGGCTGATTTCAAAGTTCACGTATCAACAGTCCTATGGAGTAATTGTCTGTCTTGATGCAGAAAGGTTTTGGTGTCAAAGATCTGATTTAAATAAGATCAGAACTTCTGTCCCTGTAACATAGGTTATATTTGGGATTACACTTTCTTAGTAAAGTACAAATTCTAGTCCTTTTTTTGGTTGAGCTCCATCCTGATTCAAACCCACACCCTCAGGCACCTAATCCCCTGCACACAAAGTAAGCTAATCGCCTAACCCGCTCAGCTACCATGACTTCCACTAAAGTACTTTACTAAGAAAATGTAATCCCAATATAACATATGTTACATTTGACCACTTTCTAAAATGGCATTGTGTAATTCTGTCCCTGTGATCATAACTTGAGAACCCAACAGTACCTCCTCAGTCTTCTTTTGGAGTAATTATGGAAGAAAACAATCCAGCCTAAATCAGCCTGGTCTAATGTTTACACTCATTTACACCTATGATTTAAACAAGTTAATATCCAACTTACTGTCCAACCATTTCAGGGCATCAAATACTCGCTCTCTCATAAACTTTTCTGCCATTCTTGAATCGACAATGAGATACAAGGCTTCAAAGTTGACATGTTCTCGAAAGCAAATTGCTGAAATATGAAAAAAGAATTTACTTGATTTCATTCAACAGAGTGACATATTCACTGCTCAGTACTTATTCATATTTCATGGAAAACATTTTGTTTCTGATATTGCTCATGACTGGATAGAGAGGAAAGACTACAGTCTTTGGTATTTCATTTCTTTACTTCTTTTGTTACAAATCTATGAGATGTAAACTTCATTCTAATGTTATAGCAACCTGTTTCGCCAACACCCCTGAGGATCAAAATCTGGGAAGACCCATGCCATGTTCATTCCTGTGCACATCTGACATACCAGGAATAGCATATCATAAGCAACAGCAAAATTTGAGTTGAATTAGATATTTCTTAAAAGTGCTAAAAAAAATACATTACAGGAAAGGTAGTCTACAGCCAAGGACAAGAGAAACATGAAATGATTTTTAATGATAAACTGTACATACTCAAAAAATAATTTTATTGCTGCAAACAAAACAGAAATTTCAATTTACTTCTACATGAGATCTGGACACTCAGTGATTTTTTGGTGAGGTTGTTACAGAAAAGTTATATCTAAACCTTACTGGACAAGTCTTCTTCTGTACAAATGCTTTGTTCTCCAAGCTCGGCTCGTAGTTTATTGGCCGTCCTCTCATTGTCCCAGTGTAAGATGCCTGCAGGGAAGTAGCATTGCAAGTTAAAAACAGTTCAGCTGAAAATACCACACATTTTGGAAACACAATATGAGATTTTGGGCAAATACCGGATGATATAATCATAAATAACATCATAGTGCTTGCAAGTCCTCGATACATTTAATTCATGATTGACACATTTGGTTTATGATTGTTGTAAAGGATTAAATCAAAACAACATTTTTTTCTGATAATGGAGATATGGGATGCTATCAGGTATTTACAGTTGTATTGAAGATAGTATTCAACAAAGTAATCAGTTATGTAGCATTGATGCTTGTTTGTTGTGAAATTGAAGATGCAATCAAAGAGGCATGGCAATTGGTTCTTGTTTCTGAGATGGTCATTGCTAAACTTGGGGGCTTGTGAAAGTGTGTTTGTTCTTTCTGAGGTGGGCGGTGGGGTAGCCTAGTGGTTAAAGCATTGGCTCATCGTGCGGAAGACCTGGTTTCCATTTCCCACATGGGTACAATGTGTGAGGCCCGTTTCTGGTGTCCCCCGCCCTGATATTGCTGGAATATTGCAAAAAGCAGCGTAAAACACAACTCACTCACTCACTCTGATTTATGCCAAACAGATTTTAATTTTTTTCATCTGGTATCTGTTACAGTGTATCTTGTTTTTCTCTTACACACATGTGTTTTCTCTCATCAGTAACACTGGAATCACCTTTGAGCAATCATCAATTGGGTGAATACAAAATATTTATTAAATTTGGTCTCTGGAAACAGAAACTGAAAGCTATTCCAATACTCAAAGTAAGAACTGTGTAATTCAAGGGAAGCAACTCTGTTGACCCTGTTGAAAGTTGACTGTGTGTTTGGAGCACCACTTTGGTGATAGATTTATGGTTATCAATATACTTACACACAGGTTTGGCTGTTGGTGTTGGTCTTGTTGCTGTTGCTGTTGATGTTGATGCTAACTCAATATTGGTCTGAAAATGAAAATTTTACATGCTAAATTTAATATCATAGCTATGGTTGGTGTAAGTATCTGTACAGCCATTTTGTTTCCAAACTATTTTTAAAAATATTAAAATGAGGTTTTAAAGGTATAAATAACACAGTTCATAATAGATTTCACCACATAACTTCAAATATAAACATCACTGAATTAAAAGGTCTTTCCTGATTAGATTATCAAAACACTGAATGCAACAATACTACTTAATAATCATCTGAGCATAACTTGTTCTTATGAAGAAATAGATGAGAATCAGGAAGTAACCTAGTAACCTAATCTATTTAACATTTACACATGATATACAGGGAAACTCCAACAGATTTAAAGCCTCTATATGAATTACTGAAATTCTGTAGAAAGAGCAAGAAACTAAGAAAATAAATTCTTTCTTTTGTTTTGTTTTCTATTCTTTTGATTTATTTTTTCTTGTAAAAAATACCTTTTTATGTTCAAAAAGAGGCAGGAGGAAAGTAGGCTACATCTGTTGTTCTGGTCCCAAGACACATTATTATTGGAACATCTAGTAACGATTTATTTATTTATTTTTGTAAATCCTCTTTATCACCATTATTGGGTACTGGTTATTCCTTTCAGTCCTTAGAGAATTCATTAATCAAAGTCATTTGAATGGCCCATGTATTACTTTCCCTAAAATTGTTAATTGTGTTCTTTAACTGATACATACACGGATTTGTTGAAAGATTGGGGTATCTTCCATGGTTGCATCCATCATGACATCCATCTTGTCTAGGTTATTGCCCTTGTGCTAAAACATGAATTGATGATTCAGCTTATATAAACAAAATAATCATTTAGTCAAAGAATCTTTAAATTCCTACAAGCATTGTTTTATATATATGTTCAGTTTTTAATCCATACCACTGATATAATGTGTGTATTTTCTCGTGTTTGCTCATTGCCGATTCGATTCTCCACATGGGTGTAACCTGTGAAGCTCATTTCTGGTGTCCCCACAGTGATTTTGCTGGAATATTGTGAAAGGCAGAATAAAGGCCAAATTACTCACGCACTCACTCTTCAAAGGGAACATTACTCAAAGTAATCATTAGTTATCAAGTGTATTACTTCCCTATCTTGTTGTGACAAATACCTTGACCCATTCACTTTCGTTGTTAGGTTCAGAGTCGGATTAAGATCAAAATGTCCAATCAAACTGTTCTTACACGTGAGTGCGTTGCTGTGCAGGAATGATGGAGGTGGTGAAATGGAGCTATTGGTCTAGGGTATCGTCATCATGACAATAATAATCTACACTGGATAACTGAGGATGACATAACGCAAAGATACAGCCTTTGTGAAAAGCAGGGGGTTATGTTAGTGTGCAAAGTTTTATACAGGGCCAAATCCTCAGGAAATATTGGTAAATGCCACGACATACTTGCACACCGCAAACCTTGCACCCCACCCACACCTACACACCACGCCCCATACACACGAAACTACAACCCAGGCTCTGCACCCCATACACCCCAAAACCACACAATGCAGCCCACGCCCCTTAACCTCCACACACTAAACCTCATTCTCCACGCACCATACCCCACACTCCACCCCACCATACCCCACCCACCCCACCCCACACTCCACCCCACCATCCACGATCCACCTTCCACAGGCAGCTCATCCACCCCACTTTGTCGACCCCCAACACCCAGTTGCCTTGCCTCAAACGCAGTCCTACACTCACCCCAAGATGACCACCCCAACACACAGTCAAACGCAGCCCCACCCTCACCCCAAGATGAACACCATCAACTGTGCACAGTCAAACGCAGCCCCACGCTCACCCAAACGCAGGACATGCCACTTCAACCATACCATAACATTCAGCCTCAACCCTCAAGTCTTAAGCATAAGCTATTTTTACACTCCACCTCTGAGATATGTAAAGTACCACCTACCCACCCCAACCGTCGACCCCTTCGTAGCTCTCAGTAGTGCAGGAGGGTATAGTATTTTCGATCCCAACACTCACACTGGTACACATAGCTGACTACATTTTAAAGCTGTTCCCATCAGCGAGGCTCATTCACTTACGCCATTGTCAAATCTGGGACTAACCTTCCCTTCGCAAAGGGGCACCGACCCGCCCCCTTAACTGTTTTAGATTCGTCACGTCGTATGTTTGATTACACAAACTCGCTACTTATAAAACTATCATGTTTAACTCCATAATTACGTGTCGAGTAAACAAATCCTGTTTGTCCTCTGCTTACACTGGTAATGACGTAGCTTGTTGCGGAACGCTGTCGTGACCTGTATAATTATAGGCGCATTTGAGATATGTGCATGCGAAAACCTACTTTCTCTTTCGCTTTCACCCGCGGGGCCTGTCACAGGAGTGAAGACTGCAAAGCAGATCTGGTGATCTGACTTGACGCATCAGATATTGTTTTCCATGTGTGTAATGCCCATTACCTGTGAAGATCCAGAAGTGATCTTCAGCAACACACCATATCCTTAATTAAATACTGAAATATCCAAGGTCCCGATCCACAAAACGTTCGTAGAGATACGACATTCGTAAATCTATGATTAACTTGCGACAGGTCGTAACGTTACGATCACGTGTTTGCTGATCGGGACCCTGTCGATTCATACATCTTATCACATTGAAGTTCACATGCATGATACGTAGAGGCAGACAGATACTGGGAAACAATCAAAGTCAATGTCTTGTTAAACTTATCAATATTTGGATATTGATACACATATAGAGGTGCATTTATTATTACAACGAAACTGAGACACAACGGGCATATTAAAATACAACGGTACTCGTCTTCTTTTAGTTTCAGATTACAAAATTTACAAAGTCTGTTTTCCCTAGGAATTTTACTAAATCGTCCTGTTTGAATTAATAACTACTGTGAAACACTAATGAATATGGATATAGGGCGAGCTGTTGTTTGTCTCTAAATTATTCGAGTGTGTGAGTGAGTATGCTTAAGGACGCATCAGCAGTTTTGCAGCTATTTGCGGTAAGAGAAACTATTCTGACTGACTGACTGAGTTTGGTTTTACGCCGCTTTAAGCAATATTCCAGCAATATCACGGCGGGGGACACCAGAAATGGGCTTCACTCATTGTACCCATGTGGGATTCGAACCCGGGTCTTCGGCGTGACGAGCCAACGCTTTAACCACAAGACTACCCCACCGCCCCAGAAACTATTCAAATTAGGATTGTTATATACATTGGATTCTCATCCGCATCATGTTATGCGGTTCAGCTACAAGTATCCATTGTTTCAGTCACTGGACTATAATTCTTGCCAATATATAATTCTTGAGATGTGTAATAGTAATAGAAATGAAGATGAAGTCCATTTCCTGTTTGAATGTGATAAATATGTAACACTAAAACGTATTTACCTCTATTGGATTAATTTAACAAATGATTGTAAATTCATAAAGTTAATAACTTCTAATGACATGGTACTTTTATTGAATTGTGCTAAATGTATCAAATCAGCTCTTAAATGTCGATCTTCTGTAAACTGACAACTTAAATGTCTGCCTATTGCTATTACGCACTGTATTATTTTGTATTACTTTTTGTACATGGGCCGATGCTACAAACTGATTATAAAACTCACTTGAACGGTACAAGTATCGAGTTATCCATAGTTTCAGTCATTGGACTATAATTCATACCGATGTCTACCTCTGATACACCACTGCCAAAACAAGCCGGGATATACCAGGATCTGTTGCAGTGATTTAATGGGAGTAGCATTCTTAGAATTATATCGATCTAACGGTGTTTTAAGATGAAGAAAATCTTTCGATCTGACGGTGTTTTAAGAGAAAGAAAACCTTTCGATCTAACGGTGTTTTGAGATAAAGAAAACCTTTCGAGCTAACGGTGTTTTAACGTAAAGAAAATCTTTCGATCTAACGGTGTTTTAAGAGAAAGAAAACCTTTCGTGCTAACGTTGTTTAAGAAAGAAACCTTTCTGAGGGTGTTGTTTTCAAACGATCAAACGGTTTTTAAAGATAAAGAAAACCTTTCGATCTAACGGTGTTTTAAGACAAAGAAAAACTTTCGAGCTAACGGTGTTTTAGGGTAAAGAATCACTTTACGGTAGCGTCTCCAAATAGTATATGAATCTCTGTAGTCTCTGTAGGAGGGGCATGAAAAATATTACACATTTTTAGGAGAATCGTACAGAAACCTGACATTTTATGCTATACGTGTTGTTGACACTTTGTCTCTACGTGGTAAGTGAGGGGCATTACTTTCATTACACATTACAAAAACCGTTCCACAAAGCGATCGTAGCGCTAAGATGATCGTAACTCCTACGATCGCTTTGTGAAACGGGCCCCTGAGCCTCAAGTCTCACTTTGTGCGGGCCCGTGAAGATCCGGGTTAGAATTGGTCTTCAGTAACCCATGCTTGTCGTAAGAGGACTAACGGTATCGGGTGGTCAGGCTCGCTGAATTGGTTGACAGTATCATCGTATTCCAATTGCGTAGATCAATGCTCATGACGTTTGTCACTGGATTGTCTGATCCAGACCGGATTATTTACAGACCGCCGCTGGTGTATATAGAGAATACTACACGAGGTCTCATTACATACGAATTATACGAAACGAGTGTCCTTCCTGTGGTATCTGACCGAGTAAACTACTCCGTAGCACCTCGTTTCTGGGTTTCCAGTTGCTTCATTCGGCTAACATCACTGGTGGAAACAGTGCGTTTATGTTTTTCGACGGATATAATGTCTCAGTTCGACTCACAATTAAACAGCGACACGGCAACGTTTGCAATGTTTACATTCCCACAATGCATTTAAGTTGTAGAATGAATTCACGTGTTTGTTATGAATGAAAAAATAGTTACGTCAGAATGTGACCTAATTGAGAGGTCATCGGTTATCCAATCAAATCGTTACAATCTCAGGTCAAGTCGTTACGACACAGGTCAACGCGATACGACACTCGTGTGACGTACGAAATTAGTATGCAACTACCCATACGTTGACTACGTGGGTAATAATGCTGAGTACGGCGTTAAACAACCAACCAACTTACTCTTTGTGTGCCGTCAGCTTGCGTATATCGCGATATGAGACGGGGCCCAGTTTATACTGTTTACAGTAGGGGTGAGTGGGTTGCAGGGGTGCGCATCCCCCCCCCCCCCTTGTCTTGAAAGTTTATTAAATGACCATTGAATCAGGGTGAAAATGAAGTGTGCACCCCACTTTCTCAAGAGTGTTCATATCCACCCCACCAACCCTTCTCAAAAAGCTGTATAAGCCCCTGCAACATTAGAAGTTGTGATATTTTTTACACCAAAGACACTCGGTAAAATTCTATGTACATAGTACATAGCACAACTGAAGAAAATGGTCCAGTACTCAAAATCGTTTTAACCATAATACTGACGTAACAATTTCCTTCTCTTGAAAAAAGGCTAGATTATTGTTGTGTGTTTCGTAATATTTTCTGTCATGGAACACCTTTAAGTCGAATCCCCCGGGATGGAATAGTTCCCTAGAAACGTATTCTTGCAATAAGAGGAGACTCTATGGCCGACAAGTGAGTATGATTGCCGATGATTTTGGAGAAAATGCCTGCTTACTGCCGAGGAAATGATATGTAGATGTTGCAATCAGTTTGTAGACCCGTGGAATATGGTCGCCGATCGAATCTAGCTCTACATAGGTGCTGTCAACGGAACTGGAAATTAATAAACGAATTTAGAAGGTGAGTTTTCGCTGTCTTGACTGTTTTCGATGAGCTGTGGCGTATAACTTTTGAAATAATGACCCGATTGTGACCCATTTATAGCTCATTTTGTAGGGAAATCATCTAGCTTTCGATTGTAAGGCCACGGCGGGGCCTTAAAAATATTTTTACGTGGTGAAATCTAACTTTGATTGAGGAGAGGGTGGTTTCGTCGTTACATCCCTTTCCTTTTATATAGTAATAGGGTTGGGTCTATACACCTATATGTATTTCTAACGTCGTTTCTAAGCGAGACATGCCCCTATGGTTGTGTGGCACAGTGAGTTAGAGAATGATCTTGAAGACACTTCATCTCACAGTTCAAGAAGACCAGTTATTGAGTGAAGATTGTTTTTTGTTTCTTGGTTTCACATTAAGTTCTTTTACGGATAGATTTCTAAATTAGCTTTTTTTCAATTTGGAAATTGTCACGTAAAGTTGCATATTTAATCCTTTGTCTCATAGACCATTCATTTCGCCGAAAAACCTGTGACGCTATAATTAAATATTCTCTTCAAATCCTGCATTGTATGCGTCAGTTTGGCTGTACCTGTTCGTTGGCTGGCTAGGTCGCGATGGGGTGCTTCCTGTAATTGACAACCATTACATATACAAGTCAAATTTGTACCAGCAGGTCGGCCGGTCACCTGTGTCGATTGCGTCTGTATTAGGTAAGGTCTGGCTTGATTTTGGAATCAGGTGTTGACAACACGTATTTGTCATAAATTATTACCTCACTGACCCTACACCATTATCGTCTGCTCGTTGCACGTGGCACGCGACAGCTGGTCAAATCACACCAAGCAGACGACAGCTGTGGTCAGCCTGTCCGGTGGTCATTTTCACTCATTATTGACTTAGCGTCCACGCGACCGATACAAAGAGCTGGTCTAAATCTCCTGGGACAAACCCTCAGACAAAAGCTAACGGTAAAATCGGACTGGGTGATGGACGAGGTTAAAAGCAGATCAGGGAAATCTGAGGCTTCAAAGTCATCACGGCTTCTCCGCCTTCCGCCTCAACATACTTAGATCGTGTTCGTGTGTAGACGGTGCTCGGATTTACGCAACCAACTGATTAACTTGCCCTCAAGAGACAAAGCAGCTTTAGTTTCAGCCAATAACATTTGCTACACGTGACATCTGGGGCCCCTGCTAGGATACCAAGTCATTGACAAGTAAAACACGTGGCCCCACCCGGAATAAACCCAAACAATAGTCAAAATAAGGAAAGTTGAATTCTTATCACGTGTTGATTCGTTTCAACTGTTCAAAGGACAACCCTTTTGTCGTATTCCAGCATTTGGTTATTCAGTAGGAATGCAACAGCCGTGTTAACGCTGAAAGCAGTTCCCAGCGTGTTCCACTAGGGGGGTGGGGTGGGGTCGTGCGTTATATTTCCTTCCCCCTACCCCACGCGAACTCACAGCCGTGGCGGGTATCCTGTGACAAATATATTACACCTATACAACATCTTGATGCTGCTCAAATTACCCCAACTCACCACCAGCTGGTGAAGCGCACTGATGAGAGGCTACACCAGCTGACACTATCTCAACGCATTAGCAGAACAACTTTAGCTGTACCAATGTCTATTTAATGCTTATCCATATACACATGGACATGCGGAAATATTTCGGAAATATTCAACATATACATGTACTGAGAAACAAAAGAATCCATAACTTCCTTAAGTGGCATTTAGAAGCTGGTATTAAGAAGAGGAACACTTTTTATGGGTAGACAACTTCTTTATAGCAGTGGATGCGACGTTTCGGTGTAGATCCTAACACCATTTTGCTTGATAACGGTGTTAGGATCTACACCGAAACGTTGCATCCACTACACTAAAGAAATTGTCTATACATAAAAGGTGTTCCTCTTCAAAAGAATCCATACCTCTAGGTTTTATCATTTGTTTGATTTTTAATTGAAAATATCTTACATAAGCGATATCATATCCACAATAGTAACTGTACTAACGCTTAACATTCAAAGGACACTTCTACATTGTGTTATTTATTTTAAATAAACTATAATATAAGTTTTAAAAAAAATTAAATTGCACAACAAACATTTTTATCTTTGAATTTAATCTTTGAAAACCAGGGGTCTAATGGTTGCAAATCCATATTTTACCACCGTTTTCATTGTATCAATATATTTTACATAAAATTTTCCAAAATCAGATTATTTTTTTAAAATCTGTTGTAAGAATGTGTAATGATCAAACATACATAGTCAAATTTAACAAGTTCCTATTTTTCCAAAGTGAAAATAAACTCGGTATATTATTTCTGGTCTCCTTCAGGTCATGTTCATCTAGCGGATGTATGGCTCAATGTGTACGCCCCGTGCTAGCTGGGAGGGGATGTTGGTAGGCATGGGGTATATTTTGGGGGATACTAGCCGGGGAAGGGTGGGGGTGGGTATTGTTACTCTGAAATTATGACAGGTTCATATTGTAACATGAGAAAATAATTTGCAAGGGGTGTGACAAAAATGGACAGTTATATTTTGTTTAAGTATGTGTTGTCTCATTTTTCATGAGAAAATGGCAATATGGCATTTTCGAATGTCAAGCTGGATGAAAATGTATGGTCGGCGTCAAACTGACGTTTTTATGTCTTAAAGTACATTAGCAAATATTTGTCTCCTTAACGTTCTTAAAGGTTTTCCTTTTGAAAAAGAAATGTATAGAAAAAGTGTAATGATATTTCCGTTTTTGGCCAAGGTAACATACACTTAGACGCTTGGTAACATCTGAACGGATAATGGAATTCCCATGAATGCTTTGGGATTCGCACATGTAAGCACATATAAACATACAGACACGGAACTAGCACACCCCGTTCTTCATATTTGATGGCATCCTCACTTATGCAGAGTACCTATATTTTCATTCTGTAAAGAATTGTGCCGCATTTCCCTTTTAAACGCTGGTTCTCAATTAAACATTGCGCATCGATTTTTATGAGCATAATTCTCCCCGTTATTATCGTTGCAATTAAACGTCGGGGGTAAAGAGTGTCTGAAGGGAATGAGCAGGTTGTCTCGAAGTACCATCCGTTTTATTCTTATATTTTTTTCGGTTGTGTCGAACATCGGATAACTCGAAGTATGTATGTACGTCCTTAAAAGCCTTTCAACTTCGATACAGCCGTGTTTGGTTAAACATCCATGTGTTTAATCAAGGAACCACGACACGCAGGACAAATTCAGTGTCAGAGCACCATACGAAAGAAAGCTGTCAAAGTATTGTAGTGAACGGGGAAAATGCCTTGGTAAGTTATAAAGTGACAAGACGGGAAGGCATAGGCGACATAACTTCCAGAACAAAGCTATTATGGCGAATAGGGCCAAGGTATTCATTATAGATTTAATACCCTCTACAAACGAGGATGCTTTGATTGGGCACTAAACACACGTACGCACGCACGCACACAGACACGAGATGTTAGCGCTATGGCCATCGTGCGTCAAATACAATAGTAAAACGCTAACTATTTAATTTTGACAGAAACAAAGAACTGCACATGAAAGAAGCCCCAGTGAGGTGGAAAATTCAGAACCTGATCCTGGGTAGAACGGAATTAATACGATTCGGGTACTGTGAGACCGCTACAGACTAAGCCACCTCTTTAACATAGACTTAAACAGCATCTCCTGGGAACGCTGGCCTGACTGGCTGCTTTGTCCCATGTCGCACACCAATGTTGGACTGCCGATTAGGCACGCCGATCGACTTGTCTTATTTCAAATTCTGCCAACCCGATCAATATGCCCATAAAGACGTAACGATCAACTCGCTGACAAAACAGGAAACCATAAATATATAACGTTTCAGCAAAAACTGATAATATTGAATACGACTATCGATCTCAACCTGCCTGTGAACCAGAACCGCATGCTTAACAGCTGCTCAAACATTCAAAATATATTTATTTAAACATTTGATAATTTGATAACTATTTATACAGCATATTGTTTGTTGTAAGTAACAGGCAATAAAAATATAATTCGTTGTAAATATGATTATATTGCTTTACAAATTCGCTTGTTTTGTTCGGTACCTTTTTCTGGTATTTCCCCAAATCGGTGAATGACTTAAGCGGGATCATTAGTGTTAGCATATTTCCCGGCGGCAAACTGCCAAATATAACAGAAACTCTTTCCATGGACCCTCCTATATTAAACAAATGGCACATGCACATGCTAGAAAGATGATATTCTTTGCTCCATCGTGATTGTATAGAAGATGTCTATCAGCAACAAAATCAGGCAGGTTTAGGGGCTGGTTCTGAGACCGGGGAAACAATACCTCAGGCTGTCACCCCTATTCCAGCAATGGGCGGTCCCTACATTCACTGATAACTCGTTATCGACACGTGGCCGGCGCGCGACCATATTCCCGCAGGGATGAAAGGATGGGCGACAGGCGTACACAACACGATTCGTTCTCGCTGTGCGGTGCGCTCTTTGTTTCAAGGTCGGCAGTTGCTACCGAGGGCTAGGCCAGTTTGCCTAACGGTTCCAAAAGACGTATAAAAGGCAAGCTTGGGACGCACAATGCATGTTAGGCCTGGACCGGGTGGGTGGAGGGGCGGTTGCACCCGTGGATACCGTCCAACACCGCGAGTGGAACACACCCAAACAGCCGGCTTAAACACTTGGAGCAGACGACAACTATAAATCTTCCAGCAATATGCCAGATTCATTGAAAGACGGCTGCGAGGCCCGGTGGGCATGGAGCAGACGGGACAAATCTCACGAAGTAAGATTGTATGGCAAAAAGATGCAGACGGCACATTTCCATCCAAACTGGAGCAACGGAACCGCCGGTGTTCGGGGTACCAAACCCCTGAACTATGGAAGACACTACTGGGAGATCAAGATTTCTCAGAGGATATTTGGAACCAGCATGATGTTTGGACTCGGAACAAAACATGCCCGTCTGCATGTGGATGCATTTGTAAACCTGCTCGGGGAAGATGAGCACAGTTGGGGACTTTCACACAAGGGGCTTCTCTGGCATAATGGCAAATGGAGGCGGTATTGTTCTCCATTCCAGGAAAACGAGTCGACAATAGTGGGTATGTTATTCGACTGGTCTACAGGAACACTGACATATTTCAAAGACGGAGAGTGTTTGGGAGTTGCATTCACGGAACTGAAGAAAATATCCGAAGGTTTGTATCCTATCGTCTGCTCCACAGCTGCTAAGACAGAAATGACCTTGGGGTTAAAGTGGCGAAGTTTTTCCAACCTGCAAGACCGCTGCCGAGCGACTATTCTTACCAACCTTAATGAGGAAAATTGTATCGAGAGATTACCACTGCCAAATCCAATGAGAGAATTCTTGCGAGAAAGTGGTTGACATTCATCTGTTGTTGTTTGTGTACTATTCATTCATTTATCAACTTCGACGGTTTCATAGATTCATATGAAATACAGAAATCAACGGGAGAAATCTGTCTCAACTGTACAAAGACTTCCAAACACTGACTTCAATATGGCGTTTTCGTCCTGACATTGTTTCGCCCGGATGCTGCATAATTGATAACAATAATCGATACGAAGATCTATGGCCGCTTGTCCCAATCTGTTGCCCTTTGTTCGGGCCGGGGTAAGGGTAAGCCAAATTCACCACCGTTATTATACCACCCTATAAAGGTTTTCCAGAGATGTGCTGCTAAATTATACATATTTGACATTAATCATTCAGAACGAACACCGAGGAATGTTTCCACAGCATGGACAATGCGAAACAAAGGACAGAGCTGTCGCAGACACTGATTTTGAAATGTCGCCCGACGCTGACATTTCGTGTATAGTTATTAAGTTATTAGTGAAATATTTCCAAGTGCTATTTTTGTACTGAGCTTACGGGTGATATCGTATGATACTTGTAAGCAAGGATGAGTCCCAGCTAGTCAAATTGTGAATATGAATGTGTAAATATGTGTGTTCTTATCAAATGTTAGTTTGTTCGCAATTTCGCTCATTGTTGATGAGGCAATACAAAATGCTCTACATTTAATTTAATTTTATTCCGAAATATATGATTCATTTGGCTTGATTCTGTTAAGGGCAAATTTACAGCTGTTCATTATCAAATAAGGCGAAAGCCATACAAGCACTTAAACCGACGCTGGTATGGAAATCGATTTCCAACATATTTTTAGAAATAACCATTCATGCAGGCCGCTCAGCTTATAGCTTCAGTCATAAGATGAACGGCAATTTGGCTATGTGTTTTAGCAGTGAGCGTTTTGCGAACCTACTTTTGTGTGTGTGAGAGTGTATCTATTTATGTATGGAAGAATATCTTCATCATTGTCATTCCGTGACGATAACAGGCGGGTACCATGTGCAATATATTTATGAACCTTGTCTATAGCGAGATATAATATATTTTACTGTTTGAATGTTGTAGTGTTTAATCTGCTTTAATTTATTGCCTTAGATAAGTTCACGGGTCATTGAAATCCACTGTACATAGACCCTTCAGTTGTAGTAGTAGCGAGCTGGTAGAAGCTTGTACCATGTATGAAGTCATATTGTACATCAATGTATTGTAGATGAAGTCACATTTTATACATTTAAAAATGAAGTAAAACATTATTCTAAATAAGACTTACCTTTCTTGGTTATTTGAGCCACAAGTAATATGTTCTTGAAATGGGTAGCCGGTGCATTTCCATCCATCCTCGGTACACAGGGGTATATTCCTGTTCGCACTGTCCTGATGTAAGAGTAGAGGTATAAGAAGAGAGTGACGATCAAAACATATGCAATGTGCGCAGGGTGTTGTAAAATAGTAGAAGTTTTCAAATTTCATAAATCCTTCTTTTTGGCAACAAAAGTTCAAAATTAGAACCAATAATAAAATAACACTGTATAAAATGTCTATAACGTGAAAGGTCTATGATATTAAATACAGATGAAAGTGTATCCGCTACCAATGTTCAAGAATCCCACAAGTCTAATATGCAGCTGAGACTGATCTGGCCTCTCTGTTAATAGATTATATTGTTTACATTAGGTAAACCTTTGCACATCTCCAGACACAGGTTTTCAGTGACTTTTACCCTAAACATGCCATTGCCAAATTTGCTATTAACACGAACAACAGATACAGTACTACGACTTGTTTGATTGGAACTTAATGTGTTAAAACCGTTTTGTACTGCACAGCATTTCTCTTTTAAACAGACACCTTTGTGATTTGGCAATTTGCTTCTTTTGATGAAACAGTCTACTATCTGTAAACCCGATCCGAAATTCTTCCATGTACAGGGGCGGATACAGCTTTTTTAGAAAAAAAAAGGGGGGGCACACTATTGAGAAAGGGGGGTGCACACTTCATTTTCAGGAGCGTTTCACTGGTCATTTAATAAAATTTCAGGACAAAGGGTGGGGTGTGCATCACCCACCCCAACCCCCTCTGGATCCGCCTATGATGTATACATTGTACGAATTCACACTTTGAACAATCTTACTTTACAAAGTTTTTTCATATTTTCAGAAAAACAGCACTTTTATTCGAAAATTTAAACTTGGCTTCTTTTGTGTAAGAAGTTAAATGAAAATTAGATCTGCGTGATATCGATACGAGCGACATAATTATATACATACAGTATAAAAAGCAATACGTTAGGAAGTTCATTTCTCCGTTTGGTAAACCCCATAGTTCAATAATTACAGTATTTCGATTCTTCGTCAATTTGGGAGGGGTATGGGCTAGGGCTAGGGGTTGGGGGAGATGTTGGCTACCTTTGTGTGGATAATTACCGATCGATAGTGCCCGTATGTCGAGAGAGCTCTCTCCCTGTTGGGGGTATTTTTCGTCATTAGAAATACTTTGAACCCAACAGTCTCGCTTCGGTTTGCACTAATGAGCTCTATTCGACAAAGGTGTGATCACGTGATCGAGATGATGCATAATTAACGACCAGCGTTCATTTCACAGATGTAATTTGAGGACAAAAATAGAATAAAATATTTGAAAAGGATTCTTGGAAATGGCGTTAGTCCTGATATACATTCTTATTAATATTTTCCTACTTCGGTTATTGAATATTAAAAGCAGGACTTTGTTTCTAGATATTGTAAGCTGTATGGTATCGGTTTAATGGATCAAATTAGAAATACATACTTTAAAGGATTGTCGCATGCGGCTGGTAGAAATTTTGATATAATATTTTGTTTTCCTGGGAAATATAACGTAATGTATCTGTCAATTTAAAAATTTAATGTTTACATTATTACAGAGAAATCTTTTAAAACAATATAAATGTATACATTACTTCTCGCTTCTGGTAAACAAAGATCTGTGTACTCGTAGCGGGCATCGTAATTTGATTTTAACAAGAATTTTAACAAATGGTTTATTCAGTATCTGAGTCCACGTGACCAAGAAAACATTACATTATATCAAGCTTGTGCACAATGACAGGTGTCACAGATGTTATGATATAATGATATTTATAATACATTAAACAGACATGTTTATTTTCAATAGTACGCATTTTAATAAGATTCACATTTTTGTTGCCAATAATTGATTAAATGTATTACATTATCCTATTTCATGAATCCCTCACGAACGATTGGATATTGTGTGACTGGTTACCCAGAAAATGGCTCATTTTGACAAAAGACACAAATCCCAACATTTAGACCGAGACTGAGAGTTGAGACCCTTCCATGGAGTGCAGACCAACGTTACTGCTATACTACTTGGTACTGTCTGTACTTAATGGGGCATTTGAGTGGCATTCAATCGTTTATAGTAGCGGAATATTGATTACTAATAAATCCTTTATACTACAAGTTAGGCTGTCGTTTATGAAGGTCGTCCTTCGGCTGCATATACCATGTATAGCTACTGACCAATATACCCAAGCAACGAGATGCGGATATACGTGTATATCCCTGTATAGTTTTCGTGTTGTCAGCCATACTGATTATTAAATATATACCGTATTTCCTCTAATAAGCGCTGGGCGCAACACTAACAATTACGGTAATTGTAAGTGCAAAAGCGCCGGGTCTGGAAGTCCGTTGAAAAAAATTACCGCCAGAGCGCTTATTTGAGGAAATACGGTAGGTGTCAGGATGGAATAGGGGCGGTGGGGTAGTTTAGTGGTTAAAGTGTTCGCTCGTCACACCGAAGTCCCAGGTTCGATTCCCCACATAGGCAGAATGTATGAAGCACGTTTCTGGTGTCCCCGTCCACTATATTGCTGGAATATTACTCCAAGCGACGCAAAACCCAACTCACTCACTCACTGTTGTACTTTTGCCGTCTCATTAAAACAACCTTTGTGCATTGTACGGTAAACCCCCGACTCTCGGTACATCGCTGTTTTACCGACTAACTTTAGTCGGCGGAAAAGAACGAATGGTGACGAAAACGATACTGGCATTGCATACCCTTTTCTATTCAGTCTCACACTCACTAAACCACATTATTTCCCCAACAGCCTCGCCCTCCCTGCAATACTAAAGCCATAAATACAGCAAGTTTAGATTTCCTCAGGTTCAGGTTCTGGGGGCTCCTTTTCAATTTAAATGGGTTCATTTGTAACTATCAGAATTATATATGTTCAGAGACTTAAGCGTTAGCCTAACCCTTTTCTTACTCCAAGGCCGGTTTACCTACAGGCAAACTGTAGCGCAAGTAGGGTTGCGCAACATAGAGAAAATGACCAGTCTTCCTATATGAGCGCGAACGTAGCTCTACGTTGTTAACGTCAGTGTTAAAGTATGATAATAGGAGTTGGGATGTTTTTAGCCCAATACAATCGCTTTGTGAAACGGGAGCCCGCCGGCTCAGGTGATATTATTCTCCGTATATAAGGGGTCTGTTGTTATTGATACGACCGGTGACGTGTATACATTAGCCAGACGCATGTAGCGGCGGAAGAAGTTCTATTATTAACGAGACTTCTCTTGTGCTGAATTTAAAATCTGTTGTTAACGTTTATCGTAGAGCGGCGGTATCAGTAACAAAACACATGGCATGTGCGGAGTTTCCCCAGTATTTTATTTAGATATTATTCAGCTGTTACCTAGCTTGTCGTTATGTTTAATGAGAAACTGAAGAATGAATATTTTAATTTTTTTCCGAATTTAGAACGGTTATTATGCCGTAATTTGCTGTTTGTGAATCGACAGAATGATGAATTACCTTTCAACATTTGAAATGCAAAGAAGAAAAAACAACTAATTTGAATATCACATATATACGAGATCACGGAGAGCTATCAGAGCGTATTTTGCAATGTGTAGCAAATACATGTAGTTTAAATTTTACATTTTGTAATGGCATAATGACGTAAAATGACATATTATATATTCCCCTTTTTAATCGACATGCTAAGGTTCTGACACATTCTGAGTTATACTGTGAATGTGTTGTAAGGAATTAGCATATAAGTTTAATTTGAACAGTGGAACCTCGTTTGACCGGACCCCGCCAGTCAGGAAACCCCACCTGCCTCTTACTGCTGTTGGCGCTTACCTGTATATTAACTGACACCCATAACCGTCCATATTAACAGGGTTTCATTGTATAGAAATGACAATATTACGTAAAATAAGTTCGTTTATCGATACCCGTTCGTATTAACGGGGTTTCATAGTAGCGAAAGTGACAGTATTACGTACCATGGGTTCGCTTATCCACAACTGTCTGTATTGACGGGGTTTCGTGGTATGGAAAGTGACATTATTTCGTGCCACGGGTTAGTTTATCCACATCTGTCTGTATTAACGGAGTGTCATTATATACAAATGACAGTATTACGTACCATGGGTTCGTTTATCCACAACTGTCTGTATTAACGGGGTTTCACCGTATGTCAACCATGTGCCGCTGGTTATGTCAAAGTACGGGATCTTTATATATACCAGCCATGAGTTTATCAACGTTTTCACCCCAGCCCTCCATCTGTACCTTTCTCAATCAACGTCATTCCACTTTCATGAAGTCTCTCAACAAAATATCTTAAAACGGCTTTGCCAATGTTCTTGTTTGTATTTTCTGTTTGTTGGTGTTTTTTGTGGGGGATCTTTGTTTAGTTGTTTGTTTATCTTTTATTATGTTTTTGTGTTGTTGTTTTTGTGCGGTTTTTTGGTGGGTGGATGGTGCTGTAAATATCCACTTTTAGATCGTGTATTCTTAGTGACAAATTGTCAAAGATTTTAACATAAAGGATATATTTATGTGGTTATTTGTTTCTGTACTGCTGTTCCATTTAGCTTACCTTATATGTACACCACTCCCAACAGGCCATATGTATATCATTCGGAACGTACCAGTGAAGGTCCGGGTTAGAATATTGATCTTCAGTAACCAATGCTTGTCGTAAAAGGCGACTAACGGTATCGGGTGATCAGGCTCGCTGACTTGGTTGACACATGGCATCTGTTCCCAATTGCGCAGATCGATGATCATGATGTTGATCACTGGATTGTCTGGTCCAGACTCCATTATTTACAGACATAGGTGGAATATTGCTGAGTGCGGCGTAAAACTAAACTCAATCACTCACTAGACAATGGATAGCCTTCATGTCATTACTACTGAGTTTACGTTCAATAAAGATTGATACCTTTTATGATGTATG